CCTTACACTCTTCCCCTGCCTCCCAGTTGTTTCAAATAAAAACTCATCTGGGCACTGGAAAATTTACCTTGGGAGGTGGAAGAGTCCCCAGAACATAAGGAGAGCCACTGCTTTGGGAGGACGGTGGAGTAAGGATGTTGTTGCCAGCCCAAGAACTGGAAGATAGGGGAGCTTCCAAATATTGGAACTGTCAGCCCAGGCTAGGCTTGGACCTCCAGCAAGAGTCTATCATAAGCTTGCAGTTTGTTGCTTGTAGAGGGCCTATTTAAAGTTAGATTTTGTGACAGACACAATAGGAAGGCTAGAACTATATAGGGTCTGGCAGAACAGGCCAGACCTGTATCCTCACTAACATCAAATTTTAAAAACTTGGTTGGTCACAGCCAACTTCAGCCCTGAATCACAATTAAATTTTGAAATTTCTCATGTATTTTATTTCATACATACGCGCGCGCACACACACACACACACACACACACACACACACACACTCACTCACTCACACAGACACACTGGTGTACATGTGGAGGTCAGAGAACATCTTTCAAGAGACCTCTCTCCTTCCATGTGGGTCTCGAGCACTTAACTCAGGTCATCATGCTTCACAGCAAGCCGCTGTACCCGCTGAGCCACCTCTGAACCAGGATTTCCAGTGATAAAATCTAATCATCTGACCCAAAACCAGAAAGTGGTACACTCACTGAAATTAACATAAAACTGTGTCCAGAACTCAGCCAAGATAGGCTTGAGCCAAGTAGACCTCAAAAACCCTCAGTGTCTGAACCTCTGGTAGCTCTCATTCCAAGCTCCAAGTGAGGATGAGAGCATCTCACACACACACACACACATCTGTATGGGTCCAACCAAGGATTTTTCCAATGCTATGCCCCTACCCTACTTTCTAAGTGGACCCTTGCTCTTCAGTATCGTTCTCACTGCTTCAAAGACAATTCCCTTCTCTCAATCCAGCCCCCATGTTCTATAGTTACTTGAATTGTCTGTGATTTGGGAACAATTAAGGAGAGAATCAAAACCCTTATTAATTGATTGGAATAAGAGTTCCTGACTTCCTCCTAGAGGTACTTCAGAAGGCTGAGCATCAATTGTAGCAATAGAGAGGGTGCCGCAGTAAGATAGATGCCGTGAGGAGCACCGGAAGCAGCAGTTCTTAGAGTAGGTCTTCGTGCTTTATGACGTACACACACATACACATACTCTCACACACACACAAAGACACACACACACATACACATACTCTCACACACACACAAAGACAACACATACTCACAAACACACACACATACACTCACACACACCTACACTCACACACATACACACACTCACGCACAAAGAAGAGAGGATTGAAGAAATTCGTTGTGGCTTTTCCATAGGGCTGACTTGCCCTCCTGCTGAGTCTCCAATAAGTGAGTGTTTTATGAGTCACAGCATGAAATGACTCAGTCTCTAGAGGTGCTTGCCCATACTTGCGGAGTGGAGCACGGAGCGCGTACTCCCTAGGGCAAGCAGTGCTGGCTCACTCCTGGCTGCCTAAAGGATAGCTGACTCCACAGAGCCATGGTGTTGAGCAACTTCACCAGGCATTGCAATTCCACAATTGTCTGTTGTATTGTTTCACTGGGAAGACATGAGTAACGAACAGGAAACCATTATCGAAGACTATAAACTACAGTTAACTAGACACCACAAGTGCTATAGTAACGTTGGTGGCAATTCACCTTGAAAATTAATTCATGCAGGCTTTCTGCATAGGGTGTGTCCTGCATAAAATGTAGCAGAGACATGAATGAATGCGTTGTGTCTTTTCATGATGTCAGAATTTATCACATAACAAATTCACAAGCTGTAACAGTTCCATTGCCAGCAATTTGCAAAGTAACCCCCAATCTTCTTTAATAGCTGTCGGCAAGCACAAGTTCTTTTTTTTTAAGTATAGCAAAAGTAAAATACAATAAGATAAAACAAAAATTATCACATTGAAGTTAGACAAAATGAACAAACAGAAGAGGAAGAGTCCAAGAGGAGGCACAAGACTCAGAGATCTATACATTGACACACTCAAAAATCCCATAAAAAAAACACTAGACTGGAAGCCATAATATAAATACAGAAGACCTGGTGTGGACTCATGCATGTCCTGAAACAGATTCTTTTTAGCCTTAATAACTGATATAGTCTCGAGTTATATATATAGTTTCAGGGACTGTGTGTGTGTGTGTGTGTGTGTGTGTGTGTGTGTGTGTGTGATTCAGAATAGCTACAAACAGGTTAAAGAGGCCACAACAGAATTCAGGGAGGTCAAAGAAGCCTTACTATAGACATAAGCAGGCAGCTGATAGAGATGCTATGAATCACCACAGTGGAGAGTGGCTGGAGGAATGGGACCAAGCTGCAAGGCTGCCATGTTGAAATGAACCTCAGGATTTAACAGCTGTTTTCATCAGTGTTATATATACATTTCCTGGCCCAACTACCTGGTCCCAAATAACCAACTCAAAGGCTGAATATGAATTATAAATGCTCGGTCAATAGCTCAGGCTTGTTAATAGCTAACTCTTTCACTTAAATTAACCCCATATTTCTATTTATGCTTTGCCATTTGGCTCATGGCTCATTACCTCAATTTTACAAGTCCTGTTTGCTCGGCAGCTGGCTGGCATCTCTCAGCTCTACCCTTCTCCTTCCCATCATCCTTAGTTTGGTTGTCCCACCTATACTTCCTGCCTGGTTACTGGCCAATCAGCACTATATTAAAGCCATAGGCCAAAGCAACTTATTTATTGACCAATGGGAACAAATATATTCACAGAGTACAGAAAGACATCCTCCAGCAAGCTTGTGTATCATGGATAGCGCTGGACAGGTGGAAGTGCCTACATGTATAACAAGGTGCAAAGTCATTCTGTCTCTGCATTCACACTCAAAAATGGAGCCAAATATTGCTTGTAAAATGGAAAAAAAGCATAGCCTGAAAGCCATTGTTTTACACAGTTCAGACCAACTTAGAGCAGGGCACAGCCTGATCGCAACAAGAGTCTTGAGAGACACTATTCTAGAGTAAGTCACCTAATAACTGAAAGTCAGAGAATGGGTAGACATGCTTATAAAGCTTTTGTACCTTACAGGTGCTACTTGCAACCTTACTCTATATAATTTGGCCTTTAAACTTGTAGCAGAAGTATTCACAATTTTCCCCCACCACTGCCCACTCCTCCTTTTATTTAATATGTGGTTGTTCTGATAGCACTCTGGCCTTTTTCCAGCATGTATTGATACTGTAGCTAGTCATGCAACTCTCCTTTAAAAATACTTTTTTATTCTAAACAGGAAACATGAAAGCTACCTTTAGCTGTCCGTCATAAAAACAGAACTTCTCTGTACTTGCTTGAATGTAAGCATCGTGTGATTTTTATCAAAACCACATGTGCCCTAGTGCCTTCTGTGAAGTAGATACTCTCTAGGTGAGGGGCTTAGGACTTTATCTTAAACTAGTGTCTACCATGATTCCTATGATCAGCAAGCATTGGAAATTACAATTGGATCCTTGTCACCAACAACCTTAGAAACTCAGAAGTGTAACCTGGGGGTGGGGGATAAAGATAAGAAACAGTGTTCTAGGCAGAAAAAAACAAAACAGGGCATTAAAATTTTTCCCAATAATTCAGCATAGTGTCAAAGATTAAGAGAAAACCAAGGACATTCCTGGTTGTGTGATTTTCCAGGTCACTGCCCTAAGCTGCATGTCCAGTTCCTATCTCCCCTTCTTATCACAAGACCAGGTCCCCAGCACAAGAAAAAAACAAGACAAAGAGGTTTTTAAACACAGATAATTTTAAACACTAATCCTTGGCTGGGTTAGTAATAATAGACCCCATATTTGCTGAATAGGGAGAACTTCTTGCAGAAAGAAGTGTTTCCTGTATGAGGCTGTGGCAGCCTCTGGGCAAGTTTGGGGTTCAGATACTGTCTTTTGTGATAGATACTTGCAAGCCACAACAGGTAAGAACCATTCCTTCATAAATGTACGGTTTTGTGTTTGTAAGCGTTGACAAAGCCATTCCATTTTGAGTATGACGACATCTATGTTTCTTTCACAGGACTAAAGGAGGGTTGTTTTCTTTTTTGTTGTTGTTTTTGGGGTTTTTTGTTTTTTGTTGTTGTTCCGGAGCTGAGGACCGAACCCATGGCCTTGCGCTTGCTAGGCTAGTGCTCTACCACTGAGCTAAATCCTCAACCCCTGTTTTTGGTGGGGTTTTTTTTGTTTGTTTGTTTGTTTTTGTTTTTTGGGTTTTTTTTTTTTTTTGGTTGTTGTTGTTTTTTGTTTTTGTTTTGAAAAAACAAAGGTCATACAGACGTTGTGTCTACGGTGGGTGGTTTGGAATGGGAAAAAGTTATGACATCATGGGAAAGATTGGAGGAGGCAAAAGAAATAATGTTCGTTGCTAGATCAAGAACCTGCACAGAAAGACGGATTAAGTTAGTCTTCCATGTCAAAACCACAGCGCTTGCAGTAGGCGACAGCATTTAACAACTATACACTACCTCGTTCCCTATTGTTTCCTCTGCATTCCTCAGGGCTCCAATTGAGCACTCATTACTCAATACGATTAACAGGCATGGAACTGAAGCCTTCGACAAAGCCGCCCCGAGGCCAAGGCGCTGACCCACGCCTCCATAGAACTCAGATCCCGGTTCCGCCACGCAGGCTCAGAGGCTTGGAGCATCCGGCTTTGTGTCCGCTGCAAAAAGTGTGGGCGAGCAAATGTGATCGTTTCCGTATTTGCCCCATCCAACCCCAGCCCTCTCTTGGCAGCCTCCGCGACAGGAAGCAGAGACCTTCTCGTCCACCAGGGGGCCGCCTCTGTCCGCTTCGCCTGCTGGGGAGGGGAAAAAAAAAAAAAAAAGCCCTAACATCCGGGACTTCGCCGCGGGAACCGCAAGCACGCTGGCGCGGCCGGACCCTCCGCGGCCGCCGTAGCGGCTCGGCCACGGTAAACAGGAAGTGGGAGCTTCCGTAGCGCAGAGCTGGAGGAGGCGGAGGGTCGGTGAGGGACTCCCTCGTCTCCCGCCGTTAGAGCCCGCTCTCCGTCCTTCGCCACGTCCTCCCGCCGGTCTACAGGGACTCGGCTGCCACCTCTGAGTGCCGAGCCATGGCCGAATACTCCTATGTCAAGTCCACCAAACTCGTGCTCAAGGGTGCGAAGGCCAAGAGGTGAGGCGGAGCTCGGGCGGGAGCCGGGGTTCTCGGCGCGTCCCAGGCAGGACCGGGGTGGCCGCCCCCCGAGATGACGCTGCCTGACAGGGGAGCCCCCGAAACAGGGAGGGCCAGTTGCCCGTGGAGCTCCATGCTGGGGACCCCCCCCTCCCCTCCCCAAGGCCTCGCTCCCTGCAGCGATTTCTTGCTTTGGGACCTTTGACGTGGGTGTAGGGCTCAGATGCCGACCGCACCAGCGACCAAGGCCGGCGGCTCGTTTGCTCATTCATTAAGAGCTCAGCTATTTTTTTTTTATGTTCCTTGCATCTCGAGACCGTCAAAAGAGTTGACGAGAATTGCAAGAGACAGCCAGCGCAGACTTGTAACAGCCAAGTGAGGGCGTGCTGGCGGTGACTTACATAGTTCGCTCTTTGCGAGAAGCTTACCTGCCCATTGGTCTCTCCGTCCTCTTGTGAAAGATTTGGCCAAAGTTGTGCACCTCTCTCCTGGATCACTGGTAACGCAGTTTCAGGAGGTACTTGTTAGGGAGCCCCGTGCCTCTGAGAACTGCTGCTGGAGTGTGGCATCGTGAAGAATGTATCCTGACCGGACCTGAAACTGTGTGAAGTAGCTGCAGGGAGAACAGAATTAGCTTCTGGAAACTTTGTAGTTAAGATGCAAAGAAGACAGACATTATTAAAACCAGTATAGCATCTCCATGTTTCAGAATTTGTTCTTGTTTGTTTGTTTGTTTGTTTGTTTGTTTGTTTGAGATAAGGTTTCTCTGTGTAGTCCTGGTTGTCCTGGATCTCTCTCTGTAGATCAGGCTGACCTCGAACTCAGAGATCTGCCTTCCTCTACCTCTAGAATGCTGGGATCAAAGGTGTGATCCGGGATTAAAGGTGTGAGCCACCACGGCCCGGCTCAGGATTTGTTCTAAGCACTTTGGATAATCACTTTTCCTCTAAGATCTCTGTGTTTTTCGTTTATGGAGCTGTAATTCATATACCATAAACTCCTCCTTTTAAAATATACAACTAATTGGTTTTAGTATATTTATGAGTTCACCACTATGTATGTGTTTTTACCACTCTAAAGTAAACCCTTAACCATTAAACAATCATACCCATCGGCCCCTCCTTCCAGTTTCTGTCAACTGCTTTCAGTCTCTAAGGATTTGCTGGTTAATATTTATGTCAGTGGAATTTTACAATACATAACCTTCTGTGTTTGCCTTCTTTCACTTAGGTTGTTGTTGAGACAGTGTCTCACTCTGTAGCTCCGACTAGCCTAAACTCACAGAGATCCACCTGCCTCAGCATCCCACGTGCTGGAGTTGAAGGCATAAGTCACTATACCTCACTTATTTCACTTGGTTTTGAGGAACATCCATATTGCAGAGCAGTGTATTTGTTTTGTTTTGTGGCTGAATGATTTCCTTTTGTATATCATTAGCATGTTTTGTTCTTTCTTCATTTAATGAGCGTTTTACACTAGTGATAATGCTATCAATATTCTTTTATTTTGTGGACACGCTTTTTTCATTTTTCTTGGAGATATATGGGAGTGGAGTCACCTCGGTATTATTTATGGTAACTCGGTGTTTAGCTTTTTGAGAAATATTTTCCAAAGAGGCTGTCTTAGTTTAGCGGTTCTATTGCTGTGATAAAACCCTGACCAAAGGTGTGGTGGGGGGTGGAGAGACGGTTTGTTTCGGCTTACCTCTTGTAGTCTGTCATCCAGGAAAGAGAAGGCAGGAACCAGTGTAAAAGCCATGGAGAAATGCTGCTTACTGGCTTGCTCAGCCTGCTTTCTTACACCACCTGGGCCACCAGGCCAAAATGAGCTAGGCCCACCTATATCAATCATTAATCAAGGAAATACCCCCATAGGTTTGCCCACAGGCCAAATCTGGTGGGGATATTTGTTCAGTTTAGGTTCCGTGTGCCCAAATGACTCTGGCTTGTGTTAAGTTGACCAAAACACTAGCCAGAGCAGAGACTAGACCACTTCATTCTTCAGCAATAGAAGGTTCAAAGTCACCATAATCCTCATAGAAACTCTAAGAATTTGTCTTCATTATTATCCTCCTTAGTGGGGAAAGTGATTGATAGATTAGTTTTTGTTGGTTGTTGGTTGATTGTTTTGGGGTTTTTGTTTTTGTTTTGTTTTGTTTTTATCACAGAGTAACAGGGACTGTAGATTATTATTTTAAATGTAGCAACATGGACACAGGGCCAGAAGCAACTTCTCAGTATTTTAAATATAATATATCTGTAAGTTTTTAAAAATCATTTGTCTATAAATCAGTATATATATTGCACGACTCCTCTGAATGTTTATCTCATAATTTTCAACACATATATCAATATGTCCAAACTCATGTATGTATCTTTTTTTCCTTCAGTAAAAAGAAGAAGAGCAAGGATAAGAAGAGGAAACGGGAAGAAGATGAGGAAACTCAACTTGATATTGTGGGTGAGCCACTTCAGTTCTTTATTGAGTGAAACGCTGGCATCTGTTGATGGTGGATGTTCCATTTGAAGTGTTTACCTCATTAGAACTGAGGACTTGCTTGTCAGAGCCTTCGGTTTGAAAGCTCACTAGATGTCACTGTTGTTCTTATCATTAGAACAGCTAAGTAGAACTTATGCCTGTCACACCAAAGTGCTGCTTACCCAAGTACATTTTACACATGATTTTCTTTGGAAGTGCATGAATTTCAGTGAAAAGTCTGCAATTTCTTTGTTTCCAATGGAAGTATAATCTGGTAAATTAATTATTTTGTACCCTGAAGTGAATGAAAATCCTAAACACAATAGAACATCAAGGTACCCTATAAATGGTACTAGAAATAGCCTCTCCCAAATCCATAATCAAATATGTTTTGGGTTTTTGTCTTTTGTTTTTGTCTTTTGTATATCTAGCTATATGCTAAATCAAATTTCTATATTTTGTATAATATTTAAGGGTCCAACCTTAAATTTATACAGTTCCAGGGCCCCAGGAGAGACACTACCATCAGTGCAGGAATGAATCCAGTTGCTCAGAGCTCTTTCATTCATTTCATTTATTCATCAGTCACCATCATTCATTCTCCAGTTCAACTCTCTCCAATCTCTTCATTTCCTTGGTTCCTTTCATTCCTTTTAACCTCCTCCTCCCAGGACTGGCCTATATCTTATCCCAAGCAGTAACATCTCATATTTTGTATACAGCACAAGATTGTAGGGGTCCCGCTAGAGGTTTCCTGGCAATTATATTTGCAACCCCAAAGGGGAGAGATAAGAGTGGAGTCAGTTAGCAGTTGAAAAAAATCAGAAAAGGAATTTATGTGCTGGAAATATATCCTTATTGTGGTTAGGTGAAGGCATTACGAGTCTGTCATAAATGTGTTCAACTCTAAACTTACAGACGATAGGGTAGGGAAAGTCTGTAGGTCACTAAAAGTTAAAACTGTCACTTTTTTCCTCTGCCTCCAGTTTCCTGACAGGGTGGGGGAAGAGTACTGATAGCTAGTCAATCTGCATCACAGCTTGAAACACCTGGTAAGAGGAAAGCCCTTTTTGATCTAAGAGGTTCTCTGGGGTGGTGAGAGAGGGGGGAGGCTTTGATTTGCACAAGAAACAAAGCTTGTTCATCTAGTGGGCAGGAATTTGGCCTGTGAGACAGGTAGTCTCAGAAAGGATATTTTATCTTGCCAGGGAGGGTGGTGTTCAAGGCATCTAACAGATGACCTGGTAGCTCTCTTTCCTTGCTTGTCTTTTAAGGCTTTATTTGGGGTTGACTCTAGCTTTGGAAGTAGCTCAAGGAGGGTATTTGCAAAAGGCAGATACCCCAAATAAATGCTAAAAAGGGGGGCTGGAGCTCAGAGGCAGAAGGCTCTGTCTCCATGACTATCCAGGTGATTTGAAATGGAGATTCACACACACATATTTTAGGAGAATTATGAGCACAAGGAATTCATAGCAAGGCACAACTGAATATTAAGCTATATAACACCAATAGTCCCTGCTGATTGGCTTCCCACTCAACTGACCCTTGGTCTTGTCGAGGTATAGCTTATAATATACAGCTGGACTTCTATTTCATATTCCTATGGCTTGCCACATCTATAAAATGTCTATTAAAAACTTGGCAAGTTAAATTTTGAAACTTTGGCAAAATAAAACAGCAGGTAAAGGTGTAGCTTGAGTTTTCCTGGTCCTGCCTGGCCCACGGTCAGGACAAATCACTCTCACCCGCCAGTCCTGTAGCCGCTTAGACCCAACCAAGTAAACACACAGAGACTTATATTGCTTTCAAACTGTATGGCCACAGCAGGCTTCTTGCTAACTGTTCTTATATCTTAAATCAACCCATTTCTCTTAATCTAAGTTGCCATGTGGCTGGTGACTTACGGTATCTTAACATCTTCTCATGGCGGCGGCTGGCAGTGTCTCTGTGACTCAGCCTTCCACATCCCAGAATTCTCCTCTCTCCTTGTCCCGCCTATACTTCCTGCCTGGCTACTGGCCAATCAGCATTTTTTTTTTTTACACAGAGCAATAAGCCACAGCATAAAGGTGCTTGTGGCCAAGTCTGACAACCTGGTATAGGTCCATGGAGAGCAGTGACTCACACAGATTGTCCACTGACCTCTGCATGTGCATGCCTGTGTACACACACACACACACACACACACACACACACACACCACGAATAGATGTAGTAAAGGATTTAAAGAAGATAGGCAATGGTGTAGAAATTATATGGGAAACCTTGTGTCATTTGAAAAAGTGATTCTAAAATAACAAAATTCTATAATTAGGGTCAGAATCAAGAGTAGATACATGAGTGTTGATTTGCAAAGTTTTAGGATAGGTGAGTATTTAACAATATTAGAATGTACCAAAATTTCCTAAATGGTTTTGCTGTTGTACGTCCTTGATAGCAAGTAGTCCTTTCTCCCACCTGGTGCCCTTTGTTTTCTTTATAGTGCTTTTCTGGTGAGCTGATCACTAGTTCTCAAGCCTGTTAATTGTTTCTCACATGGTTACTGCCTTTGAGATCTTTATTTAGCTTATCATGACAAACTTGTACTTGTTTAGAATTTTCTTTTTTCCTGGTTTTATTATCCACATAGGTTGATTGTATAGTATAAGATAGGACTCAGGGGTTGGGTTTGCTTTTGTTTTTCCTATTTACAACCGGTTCCAGCCTCCTCTTGAATAGTTAGTTACCTTTCACCATGAAACAGCTATTTGAAAATCAGTTGAGTTTCTGTCTGTTGGTCAGTTTCTTGACTCGCGTTCCATGTACACATTTTTCTGTTATATATTTGTCTTTATTACTTTCACTTTTCACTTCATGAAGTTTCCAGGTCCAATAGTTGAGTCCTTCTACTTTATATTTCCTTTGATAAAATTAGCTCTTCTGAGTTTTTTTATGTCCAGATAAATTTCTGAGTTAACTTACCATTTCATTTAAATAAAGCCTATTGGATTATCTGAGAGCATTGTATTGCTTCTAGGTTATTTGGGATTCAGTATCTTAATTGTATATCATTTATATTTCTCTATCGACCTTGCTCTTTGAGGTATTACACTCCTCATTATCATTGCTATTTTTGTTTATATAAACATCTGGGGTCATGTTTCCTTTGACTATTGTTTTAATTTTCCTTTCTTCCTGTGTCTTTTCTTTCATTTACTAGTCAGGACTTTGGAAATGTTGAACAGATATGATGAGAATAATCATAGTTATTTCTCGTCTTCAGCAGATAGTCTTGAGTAGTCCCCCATATAGTATGATTTTTATGTTAGGATCTTCATAGGCGTTCTACCAAAATAATGAATATAGTTGACGATCTTAAAAAGAATTCTTAGTAAGTTGTAGAATTAGTCAAAGAGCAACAAAGATTTAACGTGTACCCCACCTGCCAATTGTTTTGACATATAGAAAACAGTAGCTGACGACTGCAGAATACATGTTTTTTTTTTAATGTCCATAAAAATAAACCAAGAAAGTATGTTCTCGGTAATACTGTAAATGAGACTGCACAACACCACCTTTTGAAGGTGGGAAAGTGTAGAATTTCCTGTCCCTTCGTAAACAGAAATAACAAAGTGTTGGAGTGGATCTCAGATCCCGCTCCAGTGTGTGCAGCACTAGACAGCGTTAAGCTTTGAGGTGCTGAGTTGGGTCCCCCCACCACCCAAACAAAACAAAACTGTGATTGACTTAGTGAGCTCTGTTCATAGCACCTGCTGCTTTCTGACAGCTCAGCCTGGGGTGATCCTGCAGCCATGAAACATGTAAACATACCTCTGGCCTTTGAGTGGAGGCAACTTGAATTCCCAAGAAGAAAACACAACTGCTGTGGATAACTTTTTAGGCAGTGGAGATTTCTAAAAAGTAATGTATAATATTCTCTACTTTGGCAGAGACTGAAAATTTTGAGTGTCAGAAATGTATTTTTCTGAAATTCACTATTGAGATGCTGTGTTAAAATGATTTCTTTACTATTAAATGTTGGCTTTGGGGTGGCTCAGTGGTAAGCTAGTTAGTTGCCTAGCATGCATGAAGCTTTATCATGGATGTGGGGGAAAGCATTGGCGTATGTAGGATTTGTCATTGGTCTTAGGCATCCTCGGAGGAAAGGAGAGGCTGTTGACTGGAGAGCACCTCTCTCTGTGGGACTCATTTAAACATTGCCACTGGAAAGCATGTGGGATGGGGTCCACAATCAGAGAAACTATTCTCTTATCACTTTTTTTTTTTGTTTGTTTGTTTGTTTGTTTTTGGGGTTTTTTTTTTTTTTAAACGGTTTTTTTTTTTTTAAACTGTGTATCCCTGAAAGTCGTGGAACTTACTCTGGTAGACCAGGCTGGCATTGAACTCAGAGATCCGCCTGCCTCTGCCTCCTGAGTGCTGGGATTAAAGGCGTGCGCCACCACTGCCCTACCTTCTTCCTCTTTGGTATCTCTGCATGTGTGAGAGTGTGACATCAGTCACAGGAATCTACCTGTGTAAACAAACAAGTGCATGCGGAACTGGTAAACTGTGAGTGAGGTTTGGGATTATGTCGATGTCAAGTGCTAACGGTTGTCCAGGAGTTATGCAAGGTGGTATAATTAGGAGGAAGTCAGGGGAGGGTAAACCAGGTCTCTCTGCATTGATTCTTATGATTGTCAAATACAGGCTTTTAGAAGTAAGTTATAGTTAAAAAAAAAAAACAGAAAACCTCAAGTAACCCTAAAATAAAATGGTTAAACCTTGATTTTTGTTTTGTAGGAATCTGGTGGACTGTATCCAACTTTGGGGAGATTTCAGGAACCATTGCCATTGAAATGGATAAAGGAGCCTATATCCATGCCCTGGACAATGGCCTTTTTACACTGGGAGCTCCTCACAGAGAAGGTTTGTGTGGGACAAACACTGATGGGAAGGCCCTGCCAAGGGAAACATTCCAAAGCTGGTGGATGAGTCGGAGCGTGTTCCTGAGCAGGGCTGCCATCCCACTGAGCGCCTCCCCATTTTTCCTTCCTCACTCCTGCTATTGAGAACTATCTTTTTCCAGAGAAAGCATTTGAAACATTCTGACTACTGTCAGAAGAACCCTGTGGAAATTAAAAATAGCATTAAAATCACATTAAAAATTGCACTTATGCCTGGCAGTGGTGGCACACACCTTTAATCGCAGCACTCAGGAGACAGAGGCAGGCAGATCTCTGTGAGTTCAAGGCCAGCCTGATCTACAGAGTGAGATCCAGGACAGGCACCAAAACTACACAGGGAAACCCTGTTTTGAAAAACCACCACCAACAACAACAACCCAAAAAAATTGTACTTATAAATGAAAAGAAAGAAGAAAATCTAATTGAACCAGAAGTTTGAAGTTTTGTTGGTTTGGTTTCTTTTCTCTTCAGAATTGGGTATAGTTAACAGATATTTAGGCAGTTCTCATTATTGTGGAAGCACCACAGGAAATGAAGTAATTGGAAAGTAAGAAGGTGTATGATTTGGCCAGAGTGGATGTTCCTTGAGTAAATAAGAGCATTTAGTATTTCACATACTGTTACTCCTGTACTGTGTTTGAAAACGGGAGATTATAGTAGAAGTGACTGAACAAGTCATGCCAGCCTGTCTTACCAAGTCCATGAAGTCACCATGTAACAGTGTCTTGCTAGTATAGATAGTGTATTATTACAGTGTGTCCACATATCTCAATATCCTTACCTGTAACTAACTTCAGGGGAAAAACTAGTTTTCAAAGCATAAAATAGCGTTATGTATATATTTACAGCCAATGTTGTATATTTCCATTTTTGTTTTCCTGTAGTGGATGAGGGCCCCAGTCCTCCAGAGCAGTTTACTGCCGTCAAATTGTCTGATTCCAGGTAAGCTTTCCTTGAACTGTATTTAAAAGCCTTAAAATGTAACTTCACTTAACCATGCATGGTGATGCATGCCTTTCATACCTGTCTCATATCATAGGGGACAGAATCAGAAGGATCAGGAGTTCAAGGCCATATTGGCTATACAATGAGTTTGGGGCCAGCCTTGGCTACATGTAACCCTGTTTCAAAAAATAATTTTTTCACTTAATAATAATTTCACTTAAGTTTTTAAAAAAAACTACACTATTAGTGAATACAAGATCAGAGAATAATTTTAATTGAATATTTTGAAAAGGAGGTGTTTTTTTTTTTTTTTTTTTTTTTTTTTTTTTTCTTTTCCTTTTCTTTTTGAGACAGGATCTCTCTACAGAGCCCTGGCTGTATTGGAACTCGATCTGTAGACCAGGCTGGCCTCGAACTCACTGAGATCAGTCCACCTCTGCCTCCTGATTGCTGGGACTAAAGGTGTGCACATGATGTTTCATTAGGGCACAAGATGTTTTATTTACATCACATATTCTTTGTCTCGAGATAATTTTGCAAAGTGTGTCACTGTTCCTGAATTTGCCTGTGACTAATCACAGGCAGCCATCTGACATTATCCACATGTGGCCTGGTGTCTTCGCTCAGAAATTTGGGATTTTGGAGGTTTGGGGATTAGAGATATTTAGCCTGTAGTATGTATGTAGATATTCTCAATATATACTACTCGTCTAAAAAAAACATAAGAGCTTAAAGATGAAAATTAATAATGTCAAAGACCAAATTAAATAGATGAGAAAGAGCATGAGAAGAAAATACTATGATGTATAGATTTGCAGTCAGAAGAGACATAGTCATGGTGGCAGATACCTGTCATCCCAACACTTGAGAGGCTCAGGAATGAGATTACAAGTTCAGGCCAGCTAGAGTATATAGTGACACCCTATCTCAGAAAACAGTCAGGAGCTAGAAGGGCAAAAGAAAAGAATGTTCCTGAAACTCAATAGAGTGTTCCATGATCACACAAAAAAATTGACCATTTTTGTTCTGAGAAGAGTGCAAAAGTGCAGAATGATACTTTTGAGTAGTAGATGGGAAATTGAGTGTCAATGTTCTAGTAGTAGTTACAGCAACAAAATAATGATTTATATTATCATCAATCCCCAACTGAGTATGAGGTCAGTTCGGCCTCCCCAGAGATTGGTTGGCAAATAAAAATCAGAAATCATTATTTTTAAAATCAAATTTAAATAATAGCGTTTATATTTCTTTGAAAGACTTAGGAGTAAAGCAAAGGAACAGAATGTCAGTCAGTAAACTTCTTTATAGTTACAAACAAAACTATTATGAGCAATAAAAAATGAGGAAAGTATTTGCACCAATCTCTATATGCAGTGAGTGGTTCCTTGGAGGTATCTCTGCATAGCAGTCATGATCCTAATGACATCCGTAGAAAATGAGCACACACCAGGTAGTTTTGAAGTGGAAAAAGAAAATAAAAACATGCTGGTGTCATTCTCTCTAATAACTATCATGCAAAGAATATACAGTACTATTTTTCCCATATTGTGTTTTTCATCATTTTTAAAGTAGTTTAGTTCCTTTTCTTGTCTGAGATCTGACAAGAAACAACTTAAGGGAAAACACTTTGGGTTTGGTTTAAGAGGGTAAAGTTGGTCTTGGCAGGGAATGTGTCTGGGACTCCATATCTCCAGGTGTCATCACAGTGAGGGGGGTGGCAGCCCTCAGCTGCCTTCCTTCTTTTCCGAATTTTATATACTCTGGAATCCCGGCTCATAAAACGGTCTCGCTCACACTCAGAGTGTGTATTGCCTCCTTAGTTAAACCTCGCTGGAACCACCCCCAAAGATACCCAAATCAGTCAATCTAACAATGAAGACATATATCAGTTTTCTTTTTCTTTCTTTATAGATATATAGGGTTTCACTATGTAGCTCTGGCTGGCCTGGAGCTTGTTAAGTAGACCAAGGTGGCCTCTAACTCAACAGAGATTCACCTTCCTTTGCCTCCTGAGCTCTAGGACTAAAGGCACATGCCACCATACCCAAGGTATGCTTTTTCAAAAGTACAAGATTAAAATAATTTATTGGCTAAATGCATAGCTTAGAACAGTGGTTTTCAACTTGGGGGTTGAACAACCCTTTCACGGGGGTCACACCACATAGCCTGCATATTATTACAACTCAAAACAATAGCAAAATGGCAGTTATGAAGTAGCAACAAAATAATTTTATGGTTGAGGGTCACCACGACATGAGGAACTAAATTAAAGGGTTACAGTGTCAGGAAGGTCGAGAACTTCTGTCTCAGAGCACACCCCTTCTCCAATAAAATCTTAATTTGAGGTGAGAACCTAAGTTGTTACAGCCTTTTCTTGAAAACAAGTTAACAAACTGTAAAGTTTTAATATCTGGTGGGAGTCAGCCTGGGCTCCTAAAAAAGACTCTGTTTTATAACCAGAAGTTGATAACCTTCAATCCAGTGGCTTCCTCTTCTAAAGACAAATCAACAGTTTTATATATAAAACAGAAATCAGTAAGACTGTGTAATAGCATAAAAGGTGACTTTTATACATCTATGATAGGACAATAATGCATTTGGAAAATGATTGCTGTATAATGTAAGATATTGTATAATAGTTATATTAGAAAGCAAAAATAAGATTATAGAGAATATGGTGTCCATTGTAAACATGTCTGGATTTATTAATGTATATGCATATATATACACACAGATACATAAGTATACATAATATACTTTATATTTTATAATTAAAGTCTTACTCTTAGTTTTTAACATTTATCTTTTTTATTCAACCAAAGAATTGCCCTGAAATCTGGCTATGGAAAATACCTTGGTATAAATTCAGACGGACTTGTTGTTGGGCGTTCAGATGCAATTGGGCCCAGAGAACAGTGGGAACCAGTATTTCAAGATGTAAGTAATGGCCGGGCGGTGGTGGCACACGCCTTTAATCCCAGCACTCGGGAGGCAGAGGCAGGCGGATCTCTGTGAGTTCGAGGCCAGCCTGGACTACCAAGTGAGTTCCAGGAAAGGCGCAAAGCTACACAGAGAAACCCTGTCTCAAAAAAACAAAAAAAAAAAAAAATGTAAGTACTGTCACATAGAAGGGGTGCTCCACCAGTTTAAGAAAACGTCATTATCAGTAAAAGCACATTCTCTAAAATTAATAATAAAACAATAAAGTGTAGATTGTAATAGTGTTATATGTTAAATTGAAAACATTTAGAAGAACCTATAACCCTGTAATGATGTCAGAACAGTGCAACAGGAAGGAATACCTTCCTCCTTCTGGTCTCATCCAACATTGAGGCCTTGTTGTCTTGTTTTCCATGAAAAGATTAGGACTCTTGCATTTAAGTGTTGGGTTTCAAAAAAGAAGCAAATCCCCGGGTGTTTCAGGAGCATCTTCTTCACATGAGTTGGTTCAGAGCCCTTAGAGACTGACAAGAGGGCAGTGAGGAAGCAGCTAATGCTGCATTTAGGACAGTTTGTGCATAGACTAGTAAATCATGGTCCATTGAGATAAACACCCTCTGGACAGCTCTGAGTTTCAGTTTGTGAAAGGCAGTATAAACAAGTTTCATTAAAGATAAATCAACTTTAGTAAATAGTCAGTTGTATCAAAAACTAAAGAAAAGCCAGAAGAAAAGTTCAGTAGCTGTCCAGCAACAGTGGTGTGTACATTTCAGCATAGTGAGCATCAGGGTTGGAGAGGTGGCAAGAACACCTGCAGCATCAGCAAGAGGACCTCAGTTCAGATTGCAGCAACCACAGAACAGCTGGATGAAGCTGCATGTGCCTGTAACCGCAGTGCTGCCGCAGAGACAGGAGGGTCGCTTGGGCCTGCTGGCCGCCAGCCTGACTCCAGGTTCACTGAGCCCCTTTCCAAAGGAATAAGACAGTGTAATGAGTAGGACACCTGGTCTGTTGTTTTTAACAAATCCTCAATCATTCAATTTTACCAATAAAGACTTGGGAGCCAGATGCTGGGATGAAAGCCTGCTAGCTGAGAGAGGCAGAGAAAGCACCCAGCTGACCTTCCTCTTCTGTTGATGTTCCAGAAACCTCCCTCTTCTCCTTTCTCTCTCAAACTGCATGCCCCTCCCTTCTACTTCCTGTGTCTCTCTATCCGTCCTCCTGAGTCCCTCCTACTCTATGGTTTTTTCTTAATAATCCTATGTTCACTTCCTATCAACTGGTGGCTTGCTCTGCCTCTTGACCTATGGTTGACTTTACCCCTGTTTACAATATTCAAGCAGGAAACTCTTGGATTAAAGGTGTGTGCTAGGGCTGAGCTATACCACAGCTAGAAACAGGTTTTTCATAGTAAATAATGAAATCTTGGGGTTCACCGTGTGATCAGATATCCTACAACAGGTGTCCTCCAGCCTTCATATGTACAGGAGCATGCACCCTCATACACACACACACACACACACACACACACACACACACACACACACACACGTGCATACACATACACTACATTTAAGCCCAAAGAGACCAAAAATGATGATATAATAATAATAATGTGATGCCTTGGTGCACTCTATTCTCCCAAGATGAGGTAATTGATCCTTTCCTTCATCCCCTAGGATAAAATCTTGAGTCAGTGACTGGCAAGCAATCATGGCCATATTGTTGTGAGAAACACATTTTGACATCTCATGAGCAAGAACTGTACTCAACAATACTTATTTATTGTTTTGGTTTCTTTCTTTTATTGAAAGTAGTTTTTTTTCTCATACAATATATTCTGATTATGGCTTCCCCTCCCCCTACTCCTCCCAGTTCCTCTCTATCTCCCCTTCCATCAGAATCCACACTCTTTCTGTCTCTCCTTAGTAGAAAACAAACAAGCATCTTAGGAGCAATAATAAGATAAAATATAATACAATAAAATAAAAAAAACACTGGAATAGGACAAAACAAAAGAACAGAGCCAAAAAAAAGCACAAGAAACACATAATAGAGACACACATGTTCACACACATAGGAATCCCATGAAAACACGAAACCAGAAGCCATAATATATAAGCATTGGACTTGTAAGGTTAAAAAAAAAAATGCTCTGACTCAGCATTATGAAACAAAGAACCTCCAAAGATGCCATTGAGTTCGTTTTGTGTTGACATCTACTGCTGGCATGTACAATCCCTTAAGAACGGATTGTTTCCCCCAGTGAGACTCCCTTAGAGAAAACTAATTTTTCTTTGGCAAGTGGTTACCAGTTAGAGATAGCTTTGGGTTTAGGGATGGGGGCTTGTGCCCACTTATTGGTGAAATTATTAAGGCCACTTCACATCGTTAAAAGGGAGGTTTATTTTGTGGCGTAACTTACAAATGAAGGGATAGGTAGGTTGCAGGGTCTAGGAAAGGCGTGGCACAGTCTGGTGGTCTCTGGAGAACTCAGCTCAGTCTACCTCCAGCGTCCAGCGTCCAGGGTCCAGGAACCAATCTCGGGTCTTCAGGGCCCCGCCTTGTAGGCGTGACAGTTACCAAAGCCTCAATGGGGGTTGGAACTTCCAGATCAAAGCTAGAATGGCTACCTACTACACCCACTCCACCTTTCAGCTCTAGGACCCCATCTGGTGCAGACCTCTGCAGGCCCTGTGCATGCTGCCAGTCTCTCTCAGTTCATATGTGCCTCAGTCATGCTATGTTCAGAAGGCCTTGTTTAGTTGGTGTCCTCTATCTGGCTCTTACCTGCTTTCTACCTCCTCTTCCATAGGGTTCACTGAGCCCTGAGGGGAGGGATTTGATGGAGATACCCCATTTAGGACTGGGTGTGTCAAGGTATCTCACTCTCTACCTATTATCTGGCTGTGGGTCTCTGTATTTTTTCCCATCTGCTTCAGGAGGAAGCTTTCTCTGATGATGGCTGAACAAGGCACTGATCCATGATTATAGCGGAAGACCATTAGGCATCATTACATTGCTACATCCTTTAGCAGAACAGTAGTATTCAGTTTTCCGATAGGTCCCTGGCCTATCTACTCTCAGGTTCTTGGCCACCAAACAGCATTGATTTCCATCTCATGGAGTGGGCCTTAAATTAAACCTGATATTGGTTGCTTACTACTCCCACAAGCTTTGTGCTACAGTTACACCGGTGTATTTCGAGGGCAGGTGATCATCAGATAAAGGATTTGTAGCTGGGTTGGTGTTTACTTTTCTCCTTTGGTAGCATGCAGACTACCTTCCAGTACCATGAACACTGGTCCACGGGAGATAAAGCTCTAGATAGGTACCAGCTCGACTCCTCCGTGTTCAGTGAGTTATGTAGGTGTTGTCTTCAGTAATAAAGGCCTTGCCATCATTTTGTCCAGAGCAGCCAATAACCCTGGTGCTAGCCTGAGTTGTTGTTGGCCAACACCTTTATTATATGTAACCCATTCCCAGTCCTGGAAGCTTTCTTTGATGATGAAAGATGTCCAGTTGGGGTTCTGCCTCCCCTGTTTTTCGATGATTTTGTTTAGGTCACCTTCATATATGTGTATATTTTAGGAAGCTTCTACTGTAGTGGGCTTCCATATGACCCCTTAAAATGGCTGTTAGTTTTAGCTGTTTCTCCCTGTATTCCCTCCTGTTCCCCATTCTAGTCTCCCACCCCTCAGAACTAATTATTCTGTTCTTAGAGTTCATAACTATCCTCCCTGGGGAGAGCTGTCTCTCCTCCCAATCTCTTACTCTATACCTACCCTCTGGGGTTACATGGATCATAGCTTGCTTATCAGCAAATTAATAGCTAACATCCACATATAAGCGAACACTGTATTTTTCTTTCTAGGTCCGAGTTACCTCACTCGGATGGTAGGATGATTTTTTTCTAGTTCTATCCATTTACCTGCAAATATCATGATTTCATTTTTTTAATGGCTGAGTAATATTCTATTGTGTAAATGTACCACATTCTTCTGTTGAGGGGCATCTAGACTGTTTTCAGTTTCTGACTGTTATAAATAGAACAGCAATGAACATGGTTAAATAAGTGTGTCTGTAGTAGGATGAAGCATCCCTTTGGGTTTGTACCCAAGAGTAATCCAGCTTGATCTTGAGTTAGATTGATTTCTACCTTCCTGAAGAACTGCCACACTGATTTCCATAGTGGCTGTACAAGTTTGCATTCCTACCAGCAATGGGTGTTTCCCTTACTCCACATCCTCCCCAGCATGAGCTGTCACTTGTTTTACTGATCTTGGCCATTCTGACTGGTGTAAGATGAAATCTCAAAGGAGTTTTGATTTGCATTTTCCTGATGACTAAGGATGCTGAACATTTCTTCTAAGTGCTCCTCAGCCATTTGAGTTTCTTTTATTGAGAATTTTCTGTTTAGATCTGTACCCCATTTTTTAATTGAGTTGTTTTCTTGATGACCAGATTCTTGAGTTCTTTATATATTTTAGACATTAGCTCTCTATCAGATGTCTAGTTGGTAAAAATCTTTTCCCATTCTGTCAGCTGCCACTTTGTCCAAATGATGGTGTCCTTTGCCTTACAGCAGCTTTTCAGTTTCGTGAGGTATCATTTATTAGCTGTTAATCTTGGTGCCTGTGCTAATGGTGTTATATTCAGAAAGTCTTCTCTGCCAGTGAGTTCTAAGCTATTTTCCACTTTCTCCTCTGTCAGACTTGGTATATCTGGTTTTATGTTGAGGTGTTTGATCCACTTGGACTTGAGTTTTGTGCAGGGTGATAAATATGGATCTATTTGGATTCTTCTACATGCAGCTGTCCAGTTTGACCAGTACTGTTTGTTGAAAGTGCTTTTTTTTTTTTTTCCAGTTTGTAATTCTGGCTTTTTTTTTTAAATGAAAAATCAGGTGTCCATATATATGTGCATTAAGTCTGAGTCTTCGGTTCTATTATATTGATGAACAAATCTGTTTTTGTGTACAATTTGCGATCGAGGATGGTACTACTTTCACGAGTTCCTTTATTATTCAGGATTGTTTTCACTATCTTGGGTTTTTGTGTTTCCACATGAAGCCATGTGGATCTGTGAACATGGGAGATCTTTCCATCTTCCAATATCTTCCGTTTGTTTCTTCAGTGTCTTATTAAAGTTTTTTTCATACAGGTCTTTACTTGGTTATACTCCCCCAAGATATTTAATATTATTTGAGGCTATTGTGGAAGGTGTTGTTTCCCTGATTTCTTTCTCACACTGTCATTTGTAAATAGGGCTACTGATTTTCCTGAATTAATTTTGTATCCTGCTACTTTGCTGAAAGTGTTTACCAGTTGTAGGAGTTTCCTGTTGGAATTTTTAGGGCCACTTAAATATACTATCATACCATCTGCAAATAAAAATACTTTGACTTCTTCCCTTACTATTTGTATTTGCTTGGTCTCCTTCAGTTGTCTTATTGCTCTAGCTAAGATTTCAAGTACTATATTTAATAGATTTGTAGAGCGTGGGCTACCTTATCTTGTCATTTTAGTGGAAATGCTTTGAGTTTCTCTCCATTAGTTGATGTTGTCTCTGGGCTTGCTGTAAACTGCCTTTATTATTTTAAAGCATGTTTCTTGTATCCCCAATCTCTCCAGGACTTTTATCATGAAAGGGTGTTAGATTTTTTTCAAAGTCCTTTTCTGCATCTAATGAGATGATCATGTGGCTTGTTTTTCAGTCTGTTTATATGGTAGATTCCATTTATCAATTTACCTATGTTGAACCATCCCTGCATCTCTCAGCTGGTGCCTACTTGATCATGATGCATGATCTGGTTGCTGTGTTCTTGGATTTGGTTTGCAAGTATTTGGCTGAGAATTTTTACATCTGTGTTCATAAGGGAAATTGGTCTGTAACTCTCTTTGTTGAGTCTATGTTGTTTAGGCTCACAGTAAACTGTGGCCTCATAAAAAGAATGGGACAGTGTTTCTTTTGTTTCTATTTTGTGGAATGATTTGAGGGATACTGGTATTGACTCGTCTTTGACTGGTAGAATTCTGAATTAAAACCATCTGGCCCAGGTTCTTTTTTTGTTTTGTTTTGTTTTGTTTTGTTTTGTTTTGTTTTGTTTTGTTTTGTTTTGTTGCTGTTGGTTGATTGGTTGTTTGGTTGGTTGGTTTTGATTGGGAGGCTTTTAATGGGTGCTTCTATTTCACTAGAGGTTCTTGGTCTGTTTACATTGGTTTGTTTGGTTTTTTGTTTTGGTTTGGTTTGGTTTTGGTTTTTTGTGTTTGTTTGTTTTTTGTTTTTGTTTTTTCTTTTTCAAGACAGGGTTTCTCTGTGAAGTTTTGTGCCTTTCCTGGACTCCCTCTGTAGCCCAGGCTGGCCTCGAACTCACAGAGATCTGCCTGCCTCTGCCTCCCTACATTTGGGGTTTTTTACCCTATTTTTAACCTTAGTAGGTGGTCTATATTGAGAAAATTACTCATTTCTTTTAGATTTTCCAATTTGGTGGAGTACAGGTTCTTAAAGTATGTCCTTACGGGTCTCTGAATTTCTTTGGTGTTTGTTTTCCTCTTTAATCTTGTAAGTTGGATATTCTCTCTCTGCCTTTTAGTCAGTTTGGCTAAGGGTTAATCATTCTTACTAATTTTCTCAGAACCAACTATTTGTTTCATTAATACTTTGTATTTGTTTGTTTTTATTGATGTCAGCTCTGAGTTTGTTTCTTGCATCTACTCCTTTTGGGTGTCATTTCTTCTTTTTGTTCTAGAGGTTTTTTTTTAATAGAAATCAGTATAATCATAACCATTCAACCCCTAAAAGTATGCCATTCTACATAAAATTCCCTCTAGGTCAAAGGCCAGCTTTTTTGTTTGGTTGGTTGGGGTTTTTTTTGTTTGTTTGTTTGTTTTGTTTTAATTTTTTCGAGGCAGGGTTTCTCTGTGTAGCTTTGGAGCCTGTCCTAGAACTCACTCTGTAGCCCAGGCTGGCCTCGAACTCACAGAGATTATTGCATATTATCCATAAGTTTTATTTTCTTTAAAGATAATTTTTAACTTAACTAATGAGTTGTATCTTCAGAGATAGGAATTAAAGAAAGAAATTAATTTTGTGTAGGTAGAATGCTGTCCTGGTGGAAGAAAGTAAGAGATGATGTAAGTGTTCTACCACTGAGCTGTAGTTTCCAACCCAATAGAAAGACACACTAACAACGTTTATTGTGATAATATGTTGAGTATCAAGATGATGTAAGTGCTCTACACTGAGCTGTAGTCTCCAACCCAATAGAAAGACACACTAACAACGTTTATTGTGATAATATTGAATATCAGGATTTGGGATGATTTTGGTTTCCCTTCTATATGCTTTTGTATTTTCCAGGATTTCTCTAAATTCTTTTTGATTTTAGAATTGGGGAGAAAATTTTAAATTACCATAATAACTTAAGATTTCTAAAAGTATTCATAGCTTGATTTTTTTCTTTTTTCTTTGTTTTATTTAGGGGAAAATGGCTTTATTGGCCTCAAATAGCTGCTTTATTAGATGTAATGAAGCAGGCGACATAGAAGCAAAGAATAAAACAGCAGGAGAAGAAGAGATGATAAAGGTAAACACCTACAGGCTAGTAGTGACGTCTGAGAAACGTTGGGCAGCCGCTGACCATCTTTCCAAACCTAACACCCTCTTCTGTGCTGATCCACATGTGTTTAACTATCACAAGTCCAGTGATCACGTCTTAGTTGTTCAAAGTAATTGAGAAATTACTGATCAAAGCTTCTCTGCTGCTCTGCTAATACGTCCTTTTTAAGATAGATAATCTGTTCGAAAGCATGAAAGTTTCAAAGTAAAAGCCTCTGAGGCTGGTGTCTCCCACCTGCACTGCTTACCCAGTTCCCATCCTGCTTGACTTGGATTTGCTGTTGCTTGCTTGCTTTATTGTCTTATATAAACCCCTTTCTCACTTTGCTTTGCTGTTGTATCTTGGAGATCCCTGTCCATGTAAATCTATATCAAAAGTCTTCTCCTTCCTCCTTTTTATCACCTACGTAGTGTTCCTTTTTAGGGATATCCCTACCTTTATTGAGTTAGTCTTGTATAAACTGAAATGTAGATTGTTTCCTGGCTTTTGTCCTTAGAAACACTGCTGCAACACATGCCTGAATCTGCAAAATCAAAATTATAGGGCCTGTGTGATTTTGTTAGCGATTGTGAAATTGCCTGACAGGAAGGCTGTACTCTTGTCCACAGCTACTTTAGCACCCATGATGGTAGTCACTAAATAAACACAAACAAATGTCTTAGAGCTTTTGGTCTGTGGTCCTCGGAGTTTGCTCTCTTTGGGAATACGCATGCAGCCCATAAAATGATGGTTTGTTTTACATTGATGCAAGTCACTAACTGGAAGGGAAAGCTCCTTCTTCCCTATAAATGTTATACAGGTACCTTTATATCACACTAAAATTCTCAATAAACTCCCAGGATCATCAGGTGGATGATCATCACCTGGAATCTGATGAAGTCTTGTTTCAACTTACATATAATTCCAGCTGTTTCTGTAAATGATACATGTGTACAAATCAAAAACACATCGCATACATTGAGCTTGTCTTCGTAAATCTTATTGCTGAGTTACTGTTTTCTTGGCTTGCATAAGAAGTCACGTAGAGTGCTCTTGCTTAGCAAGTGGGGAAAGGGAGATAAATGTGTAACCTGTTGGGTTCTCATCAATGTCCAGATTAGATCCTGTGCTGAAAGAGAAACCAAGAAGAAAGATGACATCCCAGAAGAAGACAAAGGGAATGTGAAGCAGTGTGAAATCAACTATGTGTATGTATTCTCCCTTCAGACTCCACTGTGATGGGAGGGTTTCTCAGGACACCTGCTAAGAAAGTACCTGAAGGACCAGAAAGGCCTATAATGGGAACTCAAGGACAGAGCCATGAGCTGAGTGCGTAAAGCTAAAGACCTTGGGTTAGTCAGCTCTCCCTTTCTTTAGCAGAGTTGCTATCTCGCCAACCAGAGATCATTCATGTTCCAGACATGAGGATTGCAGTCAGCCAACATCCCTAGAAGGCTTTGCAGGGCTACCCAAGCGACAGCCCTCTTGATGGATCATAAGAAGTAACCCTTGTAGTAGAAAAACTGTCAATTTTTAAAGAAATACAATTAGGTTTGTTAAATGAATGGGTGGGAAAAACTTTTAATAGTATTTGGAATTTGGTAAGAGAACACAATGAAAGTTAGAGATTTGTTTATTTCAATGAGAAATCTTTCTTAACAGAAAGAAATTTCAGAGCTTCCAAGACCACAAACTCAAAATAAGCAAAGAAGATAGTAAAATTCTTAAAAAGGCTCGGAAAGATGGATTTTTGCATGAGACACTTCTGGACAGGTAATTGTATATTTACATAAATTACAGCAGTTTTCAAAAGTAGTGTGTTCTTAAATTACTGTTGTGTTAGGGTTTTTGTCTTCTTTAATCTATGTGGTAATATTATCAAAGAAGACATAAGTCAGGGGAAAGCATGCTAAAAATAAACTTCCAAATTATAACCAGAATGTAAATACTTACATTCTTTTAGCTTTTCAGGTTTGATTGAAACAATTTCATAATTTTCTGAACCACCAGGTCATTTCCATGGTATAGCGATTACCATATAACCACCAGGCCATTTCCATGGTGCAGCAGTTACCATGCTTGCCTCTCATAAATTTGCTTCCCATCATCTTGCCTTAAGAATTAGGAACAGAGTTAGAAATTTGCTTGAGTAATAGCAAGATTCTGTGTGTTCTGTTTGAGTAGTAGAGGTTCCTAAAACTGAGATAAAAATTACGAATTTGTATCCAGACTAAAAGTTCAGGGAGGGAAATTGAACCTGTTTTAGAAAGGTTTGATTCAGCAGTATGAAAATATTTATCATAACACATTATTGATATTGTTCCAATTCATTTTTATTTAAATAAGTAACAGCCTACAGTCAGCACCAAACTGAAAAAGAATCTGATAATCTCCTGTCAGTCATAAATAAGAGTGCTGTAAATCACTCTTAATCCTTCCCACTATCTGATAAAATAATACTTAATCATATACTTCCAGTTAACTGGTTGGTAAAGGTAAATCAGTTAATGGGAGAATTTTTTTCAACCCAGAAAATTAATGTGTGTGTGTAGTTCTGAGCAGAAAGGAACATAAAATATAGTCAGACTGTGAACTCTGAAATAGAATAAACTGTTTATCTAGCAACTTTAAAACCAGTTTAAAAAAAAAGACACCGTTGCCGCCCAGTAGAAACTTAGGGCAGGCTTAAACTCATGAGTGACTAACATTTCTCTTGTGACCTGAAAAAGCTCTTAAGCCACCTCTGTTAAATATTACAAAGCAAGTTTCATAAGACCAGAATCCATTTTACATAAAAAGAAAGTTGAAAGGTAAAGTTTTAATAAAATCTTTTTAATATGAATATTTAATACAGTAATGAAAACAGAACAATTTCCAAGCACGAGTTTTCTATTTAGTAGCAATTGACTCTCTATGGTATGTTTTACATTGATCCTTCTGTGTGTCTTAAACAGGAGAGCCAAATTGAAAGCTGACCGATACTGCAAATGACGGAGATGTTTTTGTGTTGCTTTGGTTTTTTTGTTGTTGGGGGGGGGGGTGTTGTCTGTCTGTTTTCATCCTGAATAAAAATATTCAGTACAACTCTGCTTTTACAGAGTTCTTGAGTCCTTTTGAAATTACTGCTTAATTTAGTATCTAGTTTGTCCAAGATTGATCAAGTTTAATCCGGGTCCTTCATGGGATTTACTTTTCAGACAAGTGTACCCACTTAAAGGTCTATAGAACTTCTTACACTGAATTCCCTGTCATGTTACTTCAGAAAATAGGTTCCCTGCTGCTGTGGACTCTTCCTGTTACTGTGCTGCCTTTCTTTATATTGGTCCAAGCTTGATCTGTACATTGAGAGGGATTTAGATAGTAAGTAAATATAAGTAAAGCTTTGATACTCTTCCTTTTCTTTCTTTCTTTCTTCTTTTTTTTTTTTTTCCGTTGTTAGTTGGTTGGTTGGTTTTTTTGTTTGTTTGTTTGATTGTTTGCCTGCTTGTTTTGTGGTCCATTAACATAATAGGGATTGTCCTGTTGTGTAGAAGGACATTTCAAGGCCAGCCTGGGTTGCATGAGACCCTGTGGGGGTTGGGGGTAGTTGGGCTTTAAAATAATGATAGCCATATCACACCTGAGACACTAAGAACCCAGTACTCAGTTCTTGAGACTGGATACCGAAATATTTGGAATAGTCCCAGAATAGCCAAGAATATCTGTCTTTCACTATGGGGATGATGTCGCTTCATAGGTTGGGGCACCTCGGTAGTCCCCAGGTCGGGCACTGGAAGTCCAGGGAATTCCCATAGAGCCTGTGGTCCCTGTTGTACGGTGAAGACTTGGAAATGTTGCTTCTGCTAATAGTGAAGAACTAGCAGTGTGAATCAACTCGACACAAGGGGAAAGCCAAGTGACAAAGGAGACAGCCGACAGTCAGGGTGGGCCTTCCCACATCTAGGAAATCGGGACAGTTCTTCAGGTGAGGCGCTCCACTTACTTAGCTGGTTATAATTTGTGGCAAGTTGACACTAAAATCAACCGTAACAGAAAAGAAAAACGTTTGCTAACCTGCCAAACCCTGCCTACTTTTGGACTTTGTGTTCCATGCCTCTCCAGGTCGAGTCTTAGTGTCCCATCTGGAAGCACAGTACTATCTAGAAACTCTTACCTCACCTTATCCCTGTCCCTGCAGCCGAGCCTTGCCACATACTGTTCTCCAGCATCTGAACCTTGGACTGGGAACCTATTCTTAATCCCAGTCCAGGCCGTTGGGCTTTGTACGGGACGTATTTCAGTGGCTCAGCAGGAAGAGGGTAGGGGCACTAGCAAACATACTTCCACACAGCAGCAGTCTGCCACAACCTGAAATCATCTAACCTAAAATGCCAACATTTCAAGGCTGTAAAAACCTGAAAACTGACTCGATCGTCTGGGCTTTTTCTCCCTCCCAGGGCCACAAAGTAATAGCAGAAAGTTATAGAATAAAACGACAGCCCATCTGTAGTCTTCAGTATAGATTTACAGGAACCATCCTTAGATGCAAGGCTTAACAAATAGAGCATTAGACCCAAAGTTTGCATTTTTAAGAAAACCTCCAAGAAAATCTGAAGCAAGTGATAGAAACCACATGGGGGTGAGGGGTGGGGGGACACCAAAAGATGGAAAGATATGTTGAAGAATTGGCAGAATTAGTACTATTAAAAAAAAATGGCTGTATTACCCAATGCAATCTAAAGATTCAGTGCAGTCCCCATAAAAATCCCTGTGATGTTCTTCACAAAATTAGAAAACAGCAATACAAATTTGTATGAGAGCAGAAAAGACTGGATAATGCAGTCTTGAGCAGTATCATGAAACCCAGCCTCATACTATGGAGCCATAGTAACAAGAACAACATGGTACAGATGAAATAAACACCCCAACAGAGAAGAGAGCACTCACTCAGATGATGAATCTGGTACATTGACAAAGTTGTCAAAAACACATTGGACAAAATACTGCCTCTTTAATAAACCATTCTGGGAAAACAGGATCTCCACACACATGAGAATGAAATTAGATTCACATCATTCATCTTGCATAAAGATCAAAATGAATTAAGATCACTGTGTAAGACCTGAAACTGCAACCACTGGGGGAAACAAGTTAAAGGATTTTCTGGAAAGGATTCCAGTATCACAGGAGATAATCCTAAGAATTGATAATGGGATTACATGAAACATAAAATTTTTCACAGCAAAGGAACAATCACCAGTGAAAAGAAAGTCTATCGAATGGGGGGAAAGAAAGAAAAAAAAAAAACAGCCCATTACACCTCAGACAGGATTAATACCTAGAATAATGTACTTCAAAAATTATCCAAGTCATATATTCAGTAAATAGAATGACGGTCTAAATAGACAGTTCTCAGAAGAAGACATATAAGTGGCCAATAAGTACTTGGAAAACATTCGACATCCTGAGCTAATAGGAAAATGCAAATTAAAACTACTTTGAGATTCCATCACCTCCAGTAGAGCTTATCATTAAGAAAGCATGCTACAGAAGATATGAAGAAAGAGGAACCCTTATTCACTGCCGATGGGAATGCAGACTGATGCCACCACTTTAAAAAGTCTCAAGGAGGGGCTGGACAGGGATCAGTGGTTAAATGCACTTGTTGCCCTTGCAGAGGACCTGGAGTTTCCAGCAGATACATGTTAGCTAACAATCTGTAACTCCAGTTACAGAAGATCTGACATCTGGCCTCTGGCCACTGCACACACCTATATACAGACAGACATGCAGACAAAACATCCATACACATAAAGACACACCATGCCAGGTGTGGTGGCACACACCTTTAATGCCAGCAAATGCAGAGGCTGGTGGATCTTTGAGTTCAATGCCATCCCGGTTTACAGAGTAAGTTACAGGACACTCAACGCCACAGAGAGAAACTCTGTCTCAAAAAACCAATAATAGTAATAATAAACCTGTTTTACAAACCAGTATGGAGGTTCCTCAAAACACTGAAAATAGAACTGCCATATGATTTAGCCATAGCACTTGAGTATATACACCAACAACTAAGCAACATGCCACAGAGATACCTTCCCACCCCTGCTCATTGCTTCACTATTCACAAGAGCCAGGAAACTGAACCAGCCTATGTACTCATCTACAGATCAAGAGATAAATGTAGTGCAAAAACACTATGGAATTTTAAACAGCCTACAGGAAAGTGCAGTCATGACATTTGCAAGAACACGGATCCAACTGGAAGTCATTAAGTGTGGAAATAGGCCAGACTCCCAAGTACCACATGTTTTATAATTCTGAATTTAATTTAGAATTGTATGGGTTTATATTTTGAGGGGGTGTATCATTGAAACAGGAGAAAGAGACCAAAAGGGAGATGGACTGGGTCTTTGACAGCCTCATATTCTCTCATTTCCTGCCCTGTACAATAAGTGGACCTAATTGCAGGTTCTGAGAAGATAAAACTCTGTATTGTATTATGGAGTAAATGAAGGCGGACGATAAATGTAGATAACAAGTCTGCCCAGTTATCTGCATCAAGGCTGCTAGAATATCAAAGTCAGTCTGGGAGAGTGGCAGGGGTTCAGTCAAGTGTTATAGAGCAGTAGCCTATCGTGCCCAAGGCCTGGGGTTCAACCCCTATGTGGTGGCATGGAATAAAGGCATCTAAATGTTCCCCTCTTTACATCTCATACCTCAGGTTATTATGAGGAATCCTGTTTAAAGCATTACAGAAATCCCTGACTACATGTTGCCCTGATGGAGCAATCTAGTAGACTTACCAAAAATAAGATTATACAAGGTAAAAACAACACTGACCTGAGAAAAAGTGCCCACATTTTTCAGATTAGGTCATGTCTAACTCTATAGAAGTTCACTGGGGTATATAGACTTATTTCTTAGAGGAACTATATTTATAATATATAATATTTCCATTGAAAATAATATTTTATGTACTCTGAAATCTTTACAACTAATAAATACCACATTTTTAAAAATTAATAACTTGCCAGGTACAGTGGTGCATACCTATAGTCCCAGGACTTGAGAGGTGAAGCCAGGAGGCTCAGGAATTCAGTCTAGGTTACCTGATACTCTTATCTCAAACAAAACCAAACCAACAAAAAGTTAGTAACTTATCAGGATTGTTTTATTTTTAACCTTTGAGGGTTTGTTTGTTTGTTTGTTTGTTTGTTTTGTTTTTTACAATGTTTCAAGTAGCTCAGGCTGGCCTCAAACTTGCTATGTGGCTGAGGCTGCTCTTTAACTCCTGATCTTCCTGCTTCTGCTTTTCAAGTACTGGGATTGCAAGTGTATGCCACCATGCCTGGCTTACAGCATCTAAATATTAAAATCACAGTAATGTAGAAAATGAAGTCACCAAAACTGAAGATGTGAGCTAGTGAGAAGGAAAAGAATTAGGGTTCAGGTTTGGTGTGGGGTGCTGCTGAAGATCATTGCCGAGATGCTGTGTTGATAAGTCTGGATGGTATCCATACAGTAGGGCATTTCAAAACTAGTATCTGGCATCCTACATGATTCTCCAACTTTGAGTACATAGGAATGAAAGTTGAGCCCCCATTGGAATAAATCAAAGGGGGCATTACATGGGGAAATCCAAGTATTTCTTTTGGAAATTTGTAACTTTCTATTTGTTCCCTGAGCTAGCTTTGAACTCCTGGAGATAAAAGGTTCTTCCTGCCTGTTTTCCATGTAGCTGGCATTAGAGATCTAAGAGCACATTTATTCTTTCTTCTGTGGCTCTGTCCCCAGCCTGCTGTGACTGTACTCAGAAACCAAGAGAAATCATATCTGTAGTGTCAAAAACTACAGTGACATTGTAGTGACATTTTCTTTTCTGGGATTCTCATGTCAAATCAAACTCTAGAGATAACGTTTCACAACCAGTTCTTCAATTCCTAGCAATGTGGTAGATTTTATACCATGTATGACACTGTGTTGACTAGTTTTATGTCAACTTGATACAAGCTAGAGTAGAAAGGATGGAAACTTGATTGAGAAAATGCCTCTATAAGATTCAGCTGTAAGGCATTTTCTTAATTAGTGATTTATTGGGGAGTGCCTAGCCCAGTGTGGGTGGTGCCACCCTTGGGCTGGTGGTCCTGGGTTCTATAAGAAAGCAGGCTAAAGCCAGGTAGTAGTGGCACATGCCTTTAATCCCAACACTCAGGAGGCAAGGGCAGGAGGGTCTCTGAGTTTGAGACCAGGCTGGTCTACAGAGGGAGTTCCAGTTCCTGTCTCAAAAAAAAAAAAAAAAAAAACCAGAAGAAAAGAGAAAGGAAGGAGGGAGGGAGGGAGGGAGGGAGGAAGGAAGGAAGGAAGGAAGGAAGGAAGGAAGAAAAGCAGGCTTATCAAGCTAGTAAGCAGCCTCCCTCCATGGCCTCTTCATCAGCTCCTGCCTCCAGTTCCTGCCATGTTTGAGTTCCTGTCCTGACTTCCTTCAGTGATGAACAATGATGAGGAGCTGTAAGCCAAATGAACCTTTTCCTTCCCAAGGAAAAGGTCATGATGTTTCATCACAGCAATAATAGCCCTAACTAAGACACACTCTTTATTGAAACAACTATTGGATGAAGTGTTTAAATCTGTCTGGCCCCAAAGCATAGAATGTATAGAAGCCAAAGAGAAAGCAGGAACCCTTAGGGATGGGTGAATACAAAGCTAGGTCACACCTGAAAGCCTCTACCAAAGCTAGAAGCCTTGATGCTTCAAAAAAAATACCAGAATTATTTCAAAAGAGAGTCTGTGAGTACAATGGCGACATTTCTGGGAAACAGTGAATAGGACATAAATTGAAATAGGAATCCTAAGAAATTCAAATACGGAAAAACAGCCAGGCTATTTTTACTATGTATTTTAAAAATATATAGTCCCAGTACTTGAGAGGCTGAGGCAGAAAGAGTTCATGAACTACAACATGAGCCTGAGCAACATAGTGATACAGTCTTTAAAAAAGGGAGGGAAGGAGGGAGGGAGGGAGGGAGAGAGAGAGAGAGAGAGAGAGAGAGAGAGAGAGAGAGAGAGAGAGAGAGATTGATTTAATTTCCTGGCTTGAGCTAGGAATATGGCTCAGTGGTACAGCATGTGCAAAGCCCAAGGTTCAATTCCAAGCACTTAAGAGAAAAATTAATAAACCAGAAGATACATGAATATATGACCCCACATGCATCCAAAAGAGACAAGGAAGATGTGATGAATTCCAACTCAAAGAAGTATGGAGAGCATGAGAATGTCTAGTAGGCACCCAGTTGAAGTATGAGGTGATAAGACGACTAAAAGAAACAACAAAAGACAACAACTAAGAATTTTTCAGACAATAAGTCTTGGCATACCAGAGAAATCCAAATATGAACATCACATACACACATTAAAGAGAAACTATTTAATTGATTTTTTAAAAAAAAGCCAGAAAAGTGGTAATCTAGGAAAATTCAGCACTTTAGGTGATTGCTGGATTTTTACCAAGAACCATGATCCAAAAGACAGCAAAGGGCTGCCTCCTGTTAGCTGAGAGGAAACAACCATCAGTCCAACACAATGTTCTCTGTGAGGCTGACGTGAGATGGCTCCTGACAACCACACGAATTAAACTTCTGAGTCCTTTGTCAATGGCCAGACCAAGAGCAGGCTCACATCTCAGGAAAGTCTCTCCGTGCCCAAGCTCAGGGGCACAGTGTTTTTAAGGACAAAACCATAATTACATCAGTGCTTGTGGGGCCGTCCTTAGTGGAGTTTTAGAGTTGCCTAGTCACAGCTGCTTTCTTTGCAAGGCTCAGCGGTATCTTCCAGACACAGCAGAATATGTTTGGACCATGGTCAAGACCATGGAAAGTCCCAGATATGTTGTCAAGGTGATTGTGGCTGTTAGGGTGGAAGTCTGAGATGGGATCAGGTAAGCACAAAATGACGTCGGGATGGGATGCCATTACCTTAGTCATTTCAAGAGTTAAAGCAAAGAAAAATTAAATTCATTATTAGTCATCAGTTATGTTATAGATTAGGAGTGTGCTGGGGGGTTGGGCAAAGCCAGGAAGGTTGTGAGCAGAAGACCAGCCAGACCCACAATTTGAGTTCCGGGTCAGCTGTTACATAGCAAAACCCCATCTCAAAATTCCAAAAAGGAAAGAGAGAAGAAATTATAAGTAAAGTCTAGGCAGAAAGAAAATGATACCAGAGGTGAGGTCAGAGATGGGGCGGGAGGGGGGGGGGAGGGGGAAGACAGGTAAAGATTCTTTTAAAATAACGGTAAAGCTAAGCAAAATTGATTAGATATAACAGACTAATAATGCTTCATTTATAAAAGGATTTTAACACATACTGTATGATAAAATAAGCTTGCAAAGTACTTGCTTTGTGAGATTAGGATTTCCCAGAACCCTCATGAGAACAGTTAGGCATGATGGGGTGGACTCATGATTACAGAACTGGGGGTGTGGAGACAGGCAGGTCCCTGGGGCCTCCTGATGAACCACCCTAGCCTACTTGTTGGGTAACCAGCCAATGGGAGACCCTGTCTCAAAGTGGCTTCTGAGGAATGACTGACACTCCAGGTTGCCCCATGGTTTCTACATGCATGTGCACACACGTATGTGCACCAGTATGTACACATGCATCCCCCCACAAAAATTCAATGCTTTACCTAAAGAATTGGAAAAAAAAAAACAAACACTGACAGACTTATTAGGCAGTATCACTCAATTGAAAACTGGACAAAGATACAAGAAAATGGCAGACCAATATCCCTAATGAACATAGATTCAAAAATCATCAAAATAATATCAAATCAAATTTTAACAGTGTATTAAGAGAAGTGCACATAATAACCAAGTAGGATTTATGCATGAGATGAAAGAATGCTTCAACATGCAAGCCAACTAGTGCATATTTATATCAAAAATTAGTTAAAATGAATAAAGATTACATCATAATCCAATATATTAAAAAACTTTTTTTTTTTTTTAACTTTTTTCAAGACAGGGTTTCTCTGTGTAGTTTTGGTGCCTGTCCTGGATCT